TTTTAATACATTTTCAAAATGTCCACCACGGCTCCGTGGCACAGTGGCTTAGCAATTGAGTTGCAGCGCTAAGGACCGTGGGTTCGAATCCTGCACGGAACAATATTTGTATGGCCTACAAATAATTGTTCGAGTCTGGATGTTTGTCTTTGTTCAATTTATGTTTGTACACTAGCCCCACAATACAAGAGAAAATCCTAGTGTGGATGTTACGTTTTAAAAAAGAAAGAAAATAATTTAGAAATCAATTCAGTGTCATTTTTCACTATTCTAAAATCGTTCACTCATAGAATTACTATTTTTATGTCCTCGGCACTTGTTGTCTCAGTAAAATAAACTAATGATTTAATACGTCCCCATAAAACAGTCAAAAGGCGTCAAATCAGGTGATCTAGGAGGTCAATGGCCTGGCTGCCGCGACCTTTATAAGGCACTCCAAACTCTGCATTTGTAAAGACTTTAACATACTTGAAATAAGGTTCAATTTTCTTTATTCTGTATAGAATGACGGAATTTATATTAATACAAATAAAACTGCACTTTTAAAAGTCTTATTGCCTTGAGTTACGGTCCATTTGAGTTTGTTTGACTGTACAGGTTTAGTGTGACTGTAAATTACGTAGTTTTAATTATTTTTGGGATAACCAAATCACCCATATTAAAAATGATAGAAATCGATTCAGTAAACGATTCTGAACAAATGACTTTGTCAAAGTGCGTTGATTATGTTACGTGTTGTATGTATGTATATATATATATTTTGTTACGGCCTACAGTTGCCCCTGCAAAGGTCATCTTGGCAGGGGCCCATAGCAGCTTCCTCGACGGGCAGACGCAGGTCGGGCCCAATGGCCATATGGAAGAATTTCCTATAATACTAAGCTATATGGGAGACTGCTAGAAACACATATTACGTACCAGTATCAACAGCTAACTTCGCACCTAGGCTCTGTCAGGCCATGAGTGGGTGTGAGGTGAATGGCAGGTAGTGTTCAGTGATGAGTTAATGTGTGAGGCCTTGACTACCTTAGGCGAACAGCAGCGACCGAGTTCCAGGCTGCCCCAAAATGCTGCATCGCTCCAGCAATGATGGTGCGATGCAGGAGGAGGAAAGAGGAGAGAGGAAAGAGGAGGCAAGAGAGGAAAGAAGAGAGAGGAAAGAGGAGGCAAGAATGGTCCAGCGGTGGCTCCACCGCTGGACCTGGACTTTCATTTCTTTCTTCCTTGTCACTATTTCAGTCTATTAGCTTGATTGTACATTTAACTAACTTAAACTAGCCTAATTCCACATTCATCGTAGAATCGAACACGTGATACCCGACAAAGTAACGGACAGTAGTTCAAGTTCAACATTCAATGTCCCGGATTCACTTATCACAAAATTATAAAGAGGGAATTAAAGCGATCTCTTAATGAGTCATACTACTCAGCGTTAAACACAACTAAGTTCCTTCATTCGACACCAAAACACCACGTCGCGAAAAGATTCAAAATACGCCTCGTTGATACGTAAACTAACAAGCCAACACACACAAAAAAGGGCACTTAACGCGACGGCCCAATTATAATGATTTCCTGACGAGCAACCGGGAGAAGCTCTCGAACAAGGAATGCGCGGTTCGAATCCTAGACCGTATATCTACTCGACACGCGCGTGCACAATTCCGCATCCCCGTACAAGTTAAATATTGCAAAAATTTACATATCCACGTAAGGAAGTAACACGCACTCAATCTATCTGGACCCGACAACGGTCGCGTGAACCCACGCGTCGAGCCACACAAGCCGCACACCGCCGCTGTAAAAAAGTTGTTTTCCCGATGGATACCGCATTCGCTCTGTGAAGAGCAAAAAGCGGCTCGCGTTACTTAGTGCGTCAGAACTCTCGAAAGATTCCACGCAGGATCCTCAAATGCTGTATACAAAATCGTATCAGGTGAGGAATCCTGGATATACGCGTACGAACCAGAAACAAAAAACCAGTCACGAGTTTGGGTGTTCGAAACTGAGTTAAGGCCAACAAAAATTGTTCGTTCACGGAGTGTTGCAAAAAAATGGTGGCCACGTTTGTCTCCAAAACCGGCCATGTTACGACTATTCCTCTTGAGGGACAAAACGGTTAATGCAGAATGGTATGCTAGCATTTGTTTGCCACAGGTCGTTTCTGAACTCCGTAAAGAGAACTGCAACGCCGCATCATCCTCCATCACGACAATGCGAGTTCTCACACCGCACACAGAACAGAAGAGTTTTTAGAGCAAGAAAACATAGAATTATTAGAACATCCGCCGTACAGCCCCGACCTAAGCCCTAATGATTTCTATACTTTCCCTAAAATAAAGAATAAATTGCGTGGATAGAGATTTTCATCACCTGAAGAAGCTATGGACGCCTACAAAACGGCCATTTTGGAGACCTCAACTTCCGAATGGAATGGTTGCTTCAATTATTGGTTCCATCGTATGGAAAAATGTGTCAAATTTCGCGGAGAATACTTCGAAAATCAATAAATACATTTTTAAATAGTAATGTTGTGTCACTTCCTTGATTCCCGAAATTTTCAGTGCCACCCTCGTATATATTAATTGCAATTTGAAGTGTCGATTTACCACGTTCTCGGCGGTTAAGGAAAACCTGCATATCTGAGAAGTTTCCCAGTTGAGGTCATCCTACATTGGAATCAGCGCAGCGAACACTTTTTTTGGCCAAAAACTTTATGCGGCCATTGCCCAGTAGTAACGTGTATTTGAGCTGCAACTTTTTACTTTTCATGGGGCAATATTTGCATTTTTTATTGTATTCATATTTTCGAGTATGTTACTTTTTGTTTTCACTCTAAAAAAAAGTCCACTGAAATAAACATAGGCCTCCCGCATAAATTGTCAAGTAGCTGGATATTTGCAATAGTTGCCACGCTTGGTAGGCGTGTTGGCAACCGCAGCTATTATTATTTTGATCTTTTGTCAGGAAGATGATGCTGCCCTATGTCATGTCATGCCCTAGGTCATATGTCACTGCTTACGACGGTACGATATGAGGTTTCACCGCCACAACAAGACGAACATTTTTCTACTCCCGTTCATAAGAGTAGTGCTTCCCAGGTTCACTGTGAATAAAATTTATAAGGAATAAAACTAATTTTAAGGATCTTATCGTGTTTAATTTTAACTTTTTTAATTCTCGATGTTTTGGGCACTGACACAGCATCCATGGTCACGGTAGGACTGAGGTTTTTGACGACCTGATGTCATAGTTAGAATGGAATAGAATAAGAATAGAATAGAATATAATAGTAATACAATAAATGCAGGAGTATGCTTGGGTTTGAATTTTATTTTATTAACTATGGCGCCCTTAGCAAATCTTAGCACTCAGCCATCTTCCATATTTAAATTAGCATGTGTTTTTTTTTAAATTTCAATAGCCCCGCGAATCATCATTGGTAGGAATCGATGTTCTATTACAAGAATTTGTATATCAGATCCGATATAATGGTTGGGACGATACTAAACATGTTGACATACTTTAGACTTCCCGGAGCGACAGTGTTTCACATCAACTACTTAAGTATATGTTCTTTTACGCGGGTTTTTATGGAACTTTCATACAAAGATGCGTAAAAAAACCTAACGTAAAAAAGTTAAAATTAGACGTGATAATATCCGTAACATTAGTGTTATTCCATGTGTAGTATACTGTATACTAAATTTTGAAGTCAACTCGAACGTAAAAAAAATATTTACATCTAATTTATGGTGCCAATCAAAATATTAAATAGGACCAATGATAGATATGAATAAAATATCTCAAATAAATATTATGCCGTAAACTGATAGAAGACCGTGAAACTCATCATTATTTTGTTAAAACTAAATTAATTTTAATTATGAATGAATGTAAAGAGTAAAATGTAAACAATAGATAATAATAAATTTTGATTACGATACAATTTACCTTTCTTATTGATACGTCGGAAGACATGCCCGATATAAAAAATAGTATGTGTTTCGAGACATATATATTCACGTGTTCCTGTGGCATATTATACCTATCTATGCCAAATACCTAATCTACGTCTTTTAGAATTTAAAAAAAAATCTTTGACAGTTATAGAGACACAGACACCGAGGTGACTCTAAAAGTGACCGAATTTCGCTAAAGGACAATGTTTTGCGTCCATACAATGTTCGCCTAAGAACCAACAGTAAAAAAAAACCTTTTTAAGTCCGAAATTACACATAATTGTATATAAGAACAATAACTCCTGACGGACACTTCTGAAAACTTAGATATTTGCAGTTATCATAGAGATTTTGAGGTTATGTTTTATGTTTATGAAACATCGTATCCGTTGTTCAAGCCGTTGTTCGTAATTTATATAAACTTATCGCATACAAAGCAACTACAGAGTGCACTTAGATTCCTAAGACATTTACAGAAATGTATTTTTTCAAACTAAACCAAAACAATAGCACGTCTGACGTCTATCTATTTTGACTTGTTGTCATCTGTCAACGTATTTGACTTTTTTTGCGTGGCACAATGCTGATTTGCCTATGAGATGACAAAAGTATTGTTATTTTAAATGAAAATAGATGATTTCACTGTACCCCAGTTCCTTGTGGCATATATTAATCTGAGATATATTTTAAAATATAAACGTTTTCATAATATATTTGAGTTTACGACAACTTTTAAAATATGTGAATGAAGGTATTGTGCGATTGGCCAAATCACAAGAGGCCATACACGAAGCACAATAATATTAAAAAATAGGTACAAAGTTCAAAATCAAAAAAGTCCTTTTTATTTAGATTTCACAAGTCAGAAGTGTCCGTTACTATCTAATAAATATTATCTAATGCATAATTAAGGATAAGAATTTGGGTAATAGTCAAATATATGTTGGTTCTTACGCGAGTTTTAACACTGTCCTTTGCCACGCGAGCGAAGCCGCGGGTAAAAAGCTAGTATATAAATAAATAAAATTAAAAACTTACCATATTTACTTCCTAATGCACTAAGATCATAGTACTTGTATGTTCTGCCATTGATTTCTATGTCCTTCAGTAACTTGTCGTAGGGATTGCTGGTGGCTGAAAAAAATATATACTTAAGTAATTGGTTTCATATAAAATTCTAATCGAAATGATGATACTGATTGCACGCCTCATAACGCGATAAGTTATTACATAGTGTATTACTCTCGACACGTCATGGTCAAACAATTATGTGGTCTTAAAATGCCTCTATCATAACCGTATTGCACATATACGATAATATGAATAGCCATATATCAAGAAAACACTCTAATTAATCCATCTTATATTTTCCAAGAAATCATTTCATATTGCTGCTACTTTGATAATAAAACGGTTTAAAAAAAATTACGTGGACGTCTGGATGTTGATTTTGTATGTGGTCATGATAACTCCCGAAAAAATTGACGTATCGAGACAGGGTTTTTTTTAGGTTCAAAATTACTTCAACTGGTTCCCTATTACATATCAATAGCCTCATCGTTTGATAATAAAACTATTTTCAAGATTTATAGATTTTCTAAATAATGAGTTTTGGGAAGCATTATCAGAATTGGAACTCCACCACAATTTGCCCGAACAGTTAGGAGTCACCTAGATCAACATCATCCACAGTGGATTGGTCGCGGCGGTTCAGTAGCATGGCCACTGCGTTCACCAGACTTAACGTCAATGGACTTTTATCTTTGGGCATGGATGAAGCAATTTATACGTGGTAGAGCCATGCTGCAGCTATATTTCTGGTATAGTTGTAGCACGAATGGGTCGGCTCAATCGGGGAAGGACCACGCTCTCACAGAACACCAGCGTAAAATAGCAGCTTAATGCTGCTGTGTTTCGTATGGTGAGTGTAGAGAACCGGAGACCCTTTTTACTGGAAACGAGGCATTCTTTTTTTTTTTTATAGGAGAGGGGGCAAACGAGCATGCGGCTCACCTGATGGTAAGTGACTACCGCCGTCCATGAACAACCGCAACACCAGGGGAATTGCAGAAGCGTTGCCGGCCTTTTAAAAAGGAGTAGGCTCTTTTCTTGAAGGTCCCTAAGTCGTATCGGTCCGGAAAAATCGCTGGTGGTAAACTATTCCACAAGGAAGTTGTGCGAGGAAGAAAACATCTTCTAAATCGCACAGTGGTGGACCGCCAATCATCCAGATGGTGTGGATGGTATCGGGAGTTCTGCCGCGATGTGCGTTCGTGAAATTTGGCGGCTGGGATTAATCCGAACAATTCCTCAGAGCACTCCCCATGGTAGATGCGAAAGAAAATGCAAAGGGATGCAACATCTCTTCGCAGTGCCAATGAGTCGAGCCGATCGGAAAGGACTCGGTCGTCGACGATTCGAGCCGCTCTGCGCTGGATGCGGTCAAGTGGAAGAAGCTGGCACTGGGGAGCCCCAGCCCAGAGATGGGAACAGTATTCCATGTGAGGCCGAACCTGCGCCTTGTAAAGTTGCAGGCGTTGAGCCGGCATGAAATACTGTCCCGCTCTGCTGAGCACGCCAAGCTTTTTAGAGGCCAATTTGGCCTTTTCTTCCAAGTGACCACGAAACTGCACGCTACTCGATATGTCGACGCCAAGGATTCCGATACTGGCTGAGGCAACAAGGGGAGTACCTTGAAACTGAGGAGATACGACAAAGGGGTTCTTTTTAGCGGTAAACGCGCAAACTTGTGTCTTCTGAGGATTAAACTGGACTAGATTTAGTCGCCCCCAATCCGAGACTTTGTCCAGCAAAGACTCGACTTCAGACACAAGTTTGTTCCGGTACTCGGTGACGTTTTCCCGAGAAATATTGGTACGGCCGGTGTAGAGAGCAGCACCAGTGCTGTCATCCGCATAGCAATGAATGCTACCGGCTTGCAACATATCATTGATATGCAGAAGAAACAGCGTTGGTGATAGCACGCAGCCTTGTGGAACACCAGCGTTAATAGGCTTGTAGTCGGAGCATGCACCGTCTACAACGACCTTGATGCTCCGATCTGCAAGAAAGCTGGTGATCCAATTGCATAATTTCTCGGGAAGCCCATAGGAAGGGAACTTCGAAAGAAGCGCTTTGTGCCAAACCCGATCGAAGGCCTTCGCAATGTCCAAACTAACGGCCAATGCCTCCCCCTTGGACTCTACTGCCAACGCCCATCTATGAGTTAAGTAGACCAGAAGATCACCAGCTGATCGACCCCGACGAAAACCGTACTGGCGGTCACTAATCAGCTGGTGATCCTCAAGGTACCGCATGAGGTGGCAGTTTACAACGGATTCCATTATTTTGGAGAACAAGGGGGTAATGGCGATAGGCCTGTAGTTGGACGGGTCTGAGCGGTCGCCTTTTTTAGGGATCGGGTGGAAAAAAGCTGTCTTCCATGATTTCGGGACTACGCCTAGGGAGTAGGAGTACCGGAAAAGACGCGTTAGAACCGGTGCCAACTCCGGAGCACACGTCCTCAGCACAATTGGGGGGATTCCGTCAGGCCCACTCGACTTGTGGATGTCAAGGGAGAGGAGTGCTCTGCGAACCGAGCGCTGTGAGTACCGCACATCCGGCATGGAGCACTCACACCGCGGGATAGTCGGCGGTGTGTTCCCCCGTCATCAACAGTGGATTTGGACGCAAAAAGGGAGCCTAAAAGGTCAGCCTTCTCTTTTGCGTCGTGGGCCAGTGAGTCGTCCTCCCTGTGCAGAGATGGTAGTGATGGCTTACAGAAATTCCCTTGGACAGCCTTGGCGAGAGACCAGAATGCACGGGTTCCGGAAGGAAGGCGTACTAGTTTCTCGCCAATTCTGCCTATGTGCTCTGACTTTGCCTTGGCAATAACTCTTTTGAAGGACCTGGAGGCGAATATACTTCTTTTTGAGCGTGCTGGTGTTTACATCCCGAGTCACCGAAACCGCAGCCCAGGCTTGATAACACTCCTGCTTACTGCGTAATGCAGTCTTACAGGAGCGACCAAACCAAGGCTGAGATCTGCCTCCGATGGGTACCACAGATGATGGAATAAATAGTTCCATTCCCTGTAGCACCACATCAGTGACAGAGTCAGCAACAGCGCTGGGATCGTCCGGCGAGAAGCAAACCCGCCCCCATGGGTAGGAAGCAAAGAAAGACCGCATTCCGTCCCAATCCGCCGACCTGTAATGCCAAACACGGCGGCAACCTGCAGAACGCAACCGCGAGGGGAGCGTGAGTGGCACCACACTCCGGATCAGACAATGGTCCGAAGAGCCAAGAGGGGCATCGACGGAAACCTGATATCCGTCCGGATGAGAGGTCAGCAGAAGGTCCAACAGGGAAGGTGTATGATCCTCAACATCTGGAATCCGCGTAGGCGATGTAACCAGTTGTGTCAGACCATATGCCAAGGCAAAGTCATAAACAGATCTCCCCGCATGATCGGTTAAACGTGAACCGAGCCATTCGGCGTGGTGGGCGTTAAAATCGCCAAGGATCACGATCTCTGCGGATGGAACCTGTTGTAGCAAGGAATCTGTAGCCATTTGGACGTGGTCGATGAGTCGGTCTGTTTCGGCATTACCGCTGTGGGACCTATAGAGGCACACGTAGACGCGCGGATGGTCGTCGCTGTCTACGCGTAGCCAAAGGATGGACAGGTCCGAACCTTCAAGACTGCCGAGGCGACGAGAACAGATGTCCTCCCTGACATACACGCAAACTCCAGCCCGAGGCACAAAGGAGTGCTCCAATTTGTACCCCGGGTAGGAGAGATACGAAGTATCAGCCGGAAAGAACACCTGCGTCTCGGTCAGAAAGAGCAAGGCCGGCTTCGCCGTCTCAAGATGGTAGTGGACGGCGTTTAGGTTCGAGTGAAGTCCCCTGATGTTGCAGAAATTCACGGATAGCGTGGCAGGGGTCGCCTTGGTCTTGTTGCTCAGTTTGCCCCGAGCAGTTATTGTGTTGAGCGGAATTTTGCCCCCCCCAGAATACGCGGGGCAGCCTGAGCACCCACGCTCAGGAGTGGAATAGCATGGTCGTGGATGCTCAGCGAGGGATTCTCCAGGGGTACTGGTACCCTCCTGGGGTAGTTTATGACGTAATTCCGCTACCATGTTGATTGGGGGGGGGGGGGGGGGGGGATTGGGCCTCCGGTCACCTGCACTCACCAGACGAAACGCGGAAGCAGAGCTTCCACTTCACGCCGGTATTCTGTGAGGTCGTGGTACTAACCCGGCTCGAGCCGGCCCATACGTGCAACAGCAAAAGCTGCTGCAAGGCTCTACCACCGTTAACATTACATTCTATCTTAGTCCTCGCGGGTGACAACGCATCTGCATTTTGATTCGTAATCGAGGATAAATTTAGATGTCTATGGGCCACAGCAACCACTTACCATCAGGTGGACTGTGTGCTCGTTTGTCACACTTATCCTATAAAAAAAAGTTTATTGTGAGCCAGAGAGCGTATTCACGTTGCTGCTTGCTAAGGCTGATCCAAGCCAGTTAAGAAGAACAACACAGCAGGTGGCGATCCGTGCTACTGCGTGCCTACGGGGAGCATTTTGAACAACTTTTGTAATTTCTTGTGTGTACATTTTCTACTTTTGTCAATAATAAATCGTAATTAATCCTTGTTATTTGTTTATCTTTGTCATCACTGTAAATGTCTACAGAAAAACCAAATCGTTATGAACTTATTACCTGTATAAGTTTTTCAATAATATTTCTTAAGATGCACAATAACAATACTGGTTTGCTGGGACTACTGACGTGCACCAGTAGCTAGACATACTCGTATTTATATTAGGTCCTTACATATGAAATTTGCGTTTTGTCGTACTGACCACTTTGATTTGAAATATCTCCTCTTTGGTAAAGAATTCCAAATTCAAATTTATAAATCTATTTAGCTGGTACATTTGAGTTTTGAAAACAGTCATTCAATTGATTTTTCCTCGTAATTTTTTTCTTTGGCGTCGCTTATGACCGCACAATGGAAATCATGAAATATCGGTATATTTACGAGTACGAGTTCTACTGTGGCACCATTGCTGCAGAAACAGCTCGAAGGATTAATGATGTGTACGGTGCTGGTGTTACAAAAGAAATCACGGTGCGTTTTTGGTTTCAACGTTTTCGTTCTGAAAATTTCGACCTTCAGAACCAACCCCGTGGACGGACGGGGACCATCACAAAGCACTTCAGAGATAGATGCAGGCTTCGGGGAACGGGATAAAACTGTATTAATCCATTTGAAGCAAATCAGGAAAGTAAAAAAAACTTGAACGATGGGTACCTCATGAATTGAGAGAATCGAACTTGCAAACACGCGTCGACTGCTGTGTTACTTTGCTCAACCGACACAATAATGAAGGGATTTTAAATCGAATCATTACTTGTGATGAAAGTGGATACTGTACGATAATCGGAAACGCTCGTCGCAATGGCTGAACCCTGGAGACCCAGCCAAATCCTGCCCTAAACGAAAATTGTCTCAGAAAAACTTACTTGTCAGTATTTGGTTCACTAGCGCTGGTGTTGTTCACTACAGCTTTCTAAAATTTGGCCAAGCGATTACGGCAGATATCTATTGTCAGCAACTGCAAACCATGAAGGAAGAACTAGCTGCTAAATAACCGAGATTGGTCAATTGCTCTAGGCCAGGCTGCTGCTTCACGACAATGCAAGACCACACACTGCACAACAAACAACCACTAAGTTAGATGAGCTATAATTGGAATCTCTGCGACATCTACAGTACTCTCCGGACCTTGCTCCAACAGATTACTATTTTTTCGGGAATTTGGACAACTTCTTACACGGAAAAAAATTCAACTCCTATGCGGCAGTCTAAACCGCCATCGAAGAGTTTATTGATTCTCGCCCCCATGGTTTTTTTAGTAAAGGGATCAATGAACTACCTATGAGATGGCAAAAGTGCATAGATAATAACGGTGCATACTTTGATTAATTAAATATATTTTACAAAAACAAATTGACTTTATATTCCTCCCGTACAAAACGCCAATTTCATATGTAAGGACCTAATATAATACTTTAGTTCAAACTGATATCCTTTAATTTTTATTGGCCTACAAATTCAGTCAGGACCATATTGAGCTGTTTTTGGCGCTATTAGAATTTAACGTGGGCATAATAATAATCCGAATAGTCAAAAATTCAAACCAAGCTTTAAAAAACTTTTGTCTTATTTGCAACTGATTTCAAAATTTATTGGCAATTATCTTCCATTTGAGACTATCTTTAGCTCAATCTTTCGATAAGATTAATAACAGCTAGACAGTATATTGTCTCGATGTGAGTGAAAAGAAAAACTTAAGTTAAACAGAAATTTTAAATAATAGATACCTACAGGAAAGTTTTCAAAATTATGAAACAAATTTCAATAAGCTTTTTTCCATATCGGATGAAAGTGCATCTTCTAGTTTTATGGCGTAAATAGTAGGATATAATATAAGATGTCAGTAAATAGTGCGACATAGTGCAGAGGGTGATAGCTTGGGTCAATATCTACCAAAACATTATAATATAATTACCGCAAAATGTTACGGATTTAGTTATACAAAATTTTCCAAAATATTGAAAAATCTCTAACTTGAATCAGATTTTAAGCATCTCGTAATGAAAATTCCTTTTCTAGTATTTTTTTTACATCAAGTTATTCGTGATTAGTCACTCTACTCAACGATAAGTCTTTTATCTATCAAAAACAAGAATGTGTTCAAGAAATACGTTCTTTTTTATATTTTTATTGAACGATTTTCTTATCGCTTAACTTTAACCTACAGTGGTAAAAAAACTGTACAACAAACTTAAAAAATAGCTTGTTTGATGGTGGTTTCGGAAAGAGAGCGCACACTAGCGCACACTAGCGCTTTTTTTAAATAATGAATAATATGCTATTTTAGTTCAAATGTGGCTTGACAACAAACCCCGGTATATATCGGGATTTGTTGTCAGTAAATTGGTAAAAAGAACTAAAGTAAGAAGATCACGGAGAAAAAATTATTTCAGAAAATTAATAGACTTAAGAGACATGGCAGGTTATTCTATACCTCTACCGATATATTTAATATTTGCATGAAAACTGAAAGCGTGATCCGAAGTTGTAAAAGTATAGTAAAAAAATATGATGCAACTAGCAGTTTTAAAATTATATATTGACAAGAATGTGTTTTCTAGAAAAGATAAACACATTCACAAAATTACTTTACTCAAATCAGTAGAAGAAAAATTTATTGATGTAAGGTTATACGAGTCGACTAGTATCAAAGGCGGCAATCTGTGCATTTTGACAAAAAATAGTTACTGATATGGCAACTCAGATTGATTTAAATAAAAACGTTTCCCTTGAGGTATACGGTTGAAAAATGGCAATAAACCATAGTAAAAATATCTCTAAAATTTGAATGCAAACCCGGCCATCTTACGCTGTCGACCAATCAGAAGCGAGAGTTCTTTTGCGTTTTGTAACGGCCGTTGGAACATTTCTCTCTGTGAATTTTAATGTTTTCTCAGGGTTTCTGTGACTAAACCTAATATAAAGCAGTGAAAATAGTATCACTTTATTAACCAACAAATTCACACAAAAACGCAAGAGGAATCCTGAAAATGGGACTAGAAACCGGGCTAAGGAATTGAAGTAAATTTACCCGTTGTAGTATCTTGTCACGTAAAAGGTCATATTGTTGTAATATTATTTTTTTGTTTAATGTACTCAGCGAAATCATTACCAGATAGTGTGCATTCATAATGCCAAAGCACCAAAATGTGCCACATTAACAATACCTCAGTTAAAATAATTCAAAATCAATCAAATCTCTAATATTAATATACTATTCTATTGAACCCGTGAAGTGCAAAGCGGCTTTTAAAGAAATACAACAAACAACACCGTATTTCTACGTAATGTCAAGGTGCCATATGTCAGAAATTATGTTTAAGGCTGTTCAATATAACGAAACACAGATTGACGTAAGTAATAAATATTTTTTTCACGCTGGAGATATAATCATTGATGAGAAACGAAGTAATAAGAGTTTATTTCCTGTGATTTTATGGATAGTATGGTCGTCTTTAATTTGGGTACCTACATATTTTAAATTATTGCATTTTATTCCAGGTGGAAATCATAATTTTATACAAAAATTGCTATCTCATTACTGGAGGAAAACAAAGACGCCTGAAAGAAAATATTTTTCCTCTGATTTAAATATCACCAAGCTGTACAAAATCTTCAAAAATAGTGAGTATTCGAATGCTGCTATTAAGCAATCGTATTTCCATCACATTTTTAATTTTTGCTACAATTTAGGCTTTGGAACGCCAAAAACTGACGCATGTTCAGTGTTTAGAGCTTGCTTCTGAAACTGATCCTCATAAGAAAACTTTACTTGTGACAGATAAGAATTGCTACTCTTTAAGGGCTAAAGCTTTTTATGAAAAACTTAAAGATGATTCGAATGGTCTAAGATTTTATCTTCTGATTGCTAAAAAAATCTGCCCTTGCCAAAGCGGCCTGACCAAATTGCATATAATTCCCGTCAAATATATTTTTTTAACTTTACTGTGGTGGACGGTGTTCCCAATATCCCCTTAAGCAAAGACCGCCTGTTTACTTATTATTAGATGGAAAATGAAATCAATAAAGATTCGAACTTGTTGCTTCAGCTATTACACACAGACTTAATCATACAGATTTGACCGGCATTACTAACGTTCAATTGGTCGCAGAAAGGCCCCTGAAAGAAGTCAACGACCGAAACTCAAAAACCTTTTTAGAGTTAACTCAACTTTTTTAATTTATAAGTTGATTAAAGATTTTTGTAACTGCCAGATGCATTTTTTTTAATAGGATAGGGTGACAAACGAGCACACAGTCCACCTTATGGTGGTTGTTGTGGCCCATAGACATCTACATTTTTACTCGTTTGCGAATCAAAATGCAGTGCATTGTCACCCGTGAGGACTAAGATAAAATGTCTTTTTTCCAGTAAAAAAAGGTCTCCGGTTCTCTACACTTACCATACGAAACACAGCAGTGTTAAGCTGCTATTTGACGCTGGTATTCTGTGAGAGCGTGCTACAACTATACTACTAATATAGCTGCAGCATGGCTCTACCACGTACAAATTATTTAATTACTATACCAAAAATTAAGTCAAAAGTAAAAAAGAAACGGAAGATATCGAAAACAAATCGAAACGACAATTTTACAACTAACTTGTTTAAAGAAAATGAATTCAGGTACGCAGAATGGAACAGATCTTTAATTTTGAAACTGTGCACTGAAATGAACTTGTATTATAAAGATAAATATAAAGATGTGGAATTTTGTGATATTTTTATTTATGACATCCAGCAATATACCTATACATTGGCCAGCCGCCGACGTTACATACATTTGAAAAACAGCGTACTTATAGTTTGTTGCTTTTTGTGTACGGCACAAAAACACTGTTAAGAGGCCGGTCCTTAAGAAACGCGCAAATAAGCAGTTACGATTTTAAAAATATTAAAGAATTTATTTCAGACAAGTGAGAGATTTTAGATGAGTCTTCACTAACAATGCGTGATATTTATTTTAAAAAAAAACAATAATCTAAGACATAACATCATTTATTAATTTCAAAGAGAACACGCGTGTAAAAAATTCAGCAGGCTCTACAATCTTAGAACATTCAACTTGGAAACCTGGGAAATGCTCTTTATGCAAAATTAAGATG